GGAATGAAAAGTATAATCTCATTTCATCAGTTAACCCACATTGAGTACATTACATGCTAATTTTGGAACAAAGTATACATCATTAATCAATTCATTTTCATGTAACGTTTTTACAGCAACTCTAGTGTTAATACCTTCAATTTGAACACTATTCTTATCATGAATTAGAACTTCATTCTTCAGAGATGTATTTTTTTTATTTTATATTTTATGTTGAATATTACCATTATCATACCCTTTACATACAAAATTAGATATATTATACCTTCTTCCTTATCTTCAACTATGGAAAGCTCATCTTCAAAGATTTCTCTTATCATGACATTCATTAGATTTGACTTCTTTATTTTTATGTTTTAAATTTTTTTAGTTTTATTCTAAATTCTGATGCAAAATAAGGCTCCATGAGTCTATTCATTTTTTCTTCATGTGTTTATAAAAAGCCTATTGATACCATAAGTATATAGACAAGTCCATATACTCTTCAATAGCTATAACAACATTATAAAAGTCAAATAGAGTGGTGCTGAATACCTTTATAACATTTTTAATTTCAGTAATATATTCCCAAATTTTATTATCTAATTAAAAATAAATGAAACATGATAGAAAAATTCTTGAACATATTCACTAGATTTTCATAAAGACATTTTCAATTTTTTATAGAGAGTTGGAAATTTTATTCTTGTAACCTTATTACCTTTATAAAATATAACTTTCAAAATTTACCTTTATCATCTCATAGAAAAACTAGCCTCTAATAGGACATGTTGTAATACGAATAAGGCCTTAGCATCTTCCTTACAAAGTTCCTTACCATGTTGTATTGAATTCTTCCCTCTTTATGGCCATTCTCAACTAATTCTCATAACTCATGCAAAATAAACAATATCCTGATCTTAATAATTCAAGATTCATATTTCTCTCGATTATAAAATGACATAAGATTATAAAAAGTTCAGAGGGTAACCATTCAACATGCTCACAATCAATTGAGTACTATCTTCCAAAAATCCTCATGCAAGTAGCTCATGTCCTTTGCTACAATAAAAAATCTTCATGACTTTACTAACCTCTTTCTCGAAGCTCTGATGACGTTTTTATGACCTCCTTGGCAAAAAATATCAAATATGATGAACCTAAGTTTCTGATCGAACTTTTTAAGGAAAAAAGGCTACAAATATGGAGACAATGTCTAGATTTTGAAAATAAATTGATTGAAAGAGAGAATAGCATCACTCTTTTAAAATCTAAGGTTCAAGCAGGATTCGTGTAGTATCAATTTGTTTCACAAGAGCCGGGGTTTCCAGTTTTCCCAGTACAAATATGGGAAGCTGAATGACAGTCAGCGTCATCTGACGCAACTGAGGGGCCGATAATAACGTGATAATCCAAACCAACCGCGTGCTGTTATCTTCATCCCCACATCAGACGGGTCGACCAGATGGAATCATTGGGAAGAGAGAAGCTTCCAACCCCAAACGGCTACGCATCGTCTCTCTGTAACTATCTTCTATGTTGCGAAAACTAACGACCGAGAGCAACTGAAGTTTCTTTCCCGTCCATTTAATTTATTATTATGGGTGAGCCGATCAGTAGCCAGAGAAGGTGGACCCATTACCCACAGAAACCTCATTTGACTCTGATCACCAGGGCTAGTTGTGTGACAGCAAAACAATCGCAAAATAATCAAAGGCCTCCTTGCTAATTTATTCGAGGTAACTTCCAACGGTCAGTCAGCCCATGGGTACACTACTGACTGGCAACTCCCGTAGCGCCATCAGCTTTTTATTTACTCTGGGAACTGTCTTGCGCAGAACTCGTGGAAGTGCTCGTTCAGCAGCTCATATAGATGCTCTTGAAGTTGTTGGGTTTGCATCGGCGGGTCTCCTTGTAGAGGGAGACGTAGGAGCCATCGCAGTGGGAGCCCTTGTACAGCGTGGCGGCCTGGCCCTCGGTGAACACGAAGTGGTACCCTCCCTGATAGCCGCTGATGTCGAAGCACCCACAGCCGTTGACGTCCTTGGTTCTCCCGGCGCACCCCGGGCCAGAGAACGCGGTCAGGGTACTCGCGGACCCCGGCGCAACGGCGGCCGCTGCGACGAGCAGCAGGAGAACGGCAGCCAACGCGGCCTTGCTGGGGGTGGCCGCCATATCTTCTTAACGAGGGGAGTGGGTAGTCTCTGGCTGCGGGATTGGCAAAGGAATGGAGATGGAGCGGTGAGAGTCCCTGGTTCCTGCTCGTGTCCTCTTTATAGCCGGTATCTGGGGCCTGACCAAGTCCTGGGATACATTCAACATCGTCTGCCGTTTCGTCGTCAAACAAGAAATGAAAACTTGGTCTTCGCTGCTTTCAGTTTTTCTCTACGTCGTTTCTTTCTGATGGCGATCCGACGCGGCTTGTTGGGAAGGCTCGGTGTTCGGCGCAGTAGCGTCATAATTGTGGCTTCCTCGAGCATGTCGCCACGTCAGGGTCTTGTTGACCTTGACCCCGTCGCAGATATCCGCGGAGGGAACGAAGATTAAAAAGGGGTGGGTGGCGCGTAATCCACCGGGGACTCGTTTTCCGTGTTGCCCCGCTGACACCTTATCCGTTCCAACCCTCCACTAAAGTTGAGAATGGATAAAATGTCTCGCTTCTTCAAAATATTTCCGTGGAAGAGTTTGACCGTTCGACGGAGTAGGCAGCGCCTTCTTATCAGAGCAAGTCGGCGAACCCGATTTGTCCACATTGGGGATTCTGAGCGCAACGGCCGAAACATTATCCCAGCGCTCCGAATCGCTCCCACGGCGGACGGAGCTGATTACAGCAGCACAGGTACTTTTAGGGATCGCGTTTTCTTTAATCACGGCTCGCAGTTTTCCACGGAGAAACTATTTTTCAAATGGCCCCAGCAGGGACTGCTCTAAGCTGTCACCTTGCCTACATTGGGAATTTGTTACGTTGAGCGCGTCGGATGTTCGCCAGATTTTGTTGAACCCGAAGAGCTTACTAATTGTCAACTACTCGTGGCATTCTGAAATACGAGTATCTAGAAGCGTACGACTCAACTAGTGTTATCATTTACTTCATTCTAAGTAAGGACGTCAGATGTACGAACGTAGGAAGTTCCCAACGGTCAGAAGAGAGGGCCCGTCAGTAGTTGGGCACGTGACACACTTAGTGGGCAGGTCGCCCATTCATTCAAGCCGAAAGAGCCACGTTTCAGCTCGTGGCGGGAGAGAAGACGAGGAGCCAATGAAACGAGAGAGCATGTCCGCCTGCCCAAGCGCCAGGACGGTGGAAAGCCACTGGGGGTTCAGCGGCAACGGAAGGAGGCTGCGTCCTTGGGTTTTACTGCGCCATTGAGCTCGCCGTCGCTGCTGGATGCGGCGTTTGCGAACTATAACAGTGGAGAGAGAGAAAAGGCACCTGGGATGAAGACAAGTATCTAACCGGAGCATAACTCTCTCCACGAGAAAATCAGATTAACAGCAGCTGTCTTGCTGGATGGAATGAGAGAGTCTATTAAAATGAGCATGATGATGTAATCCTTGAATCCCTCATGGCTCTCTTCTTTCTATCACTTGGGTCTGAGAGAGTCTATTAAAATGAGCATGATGAAGTTTTATGACCTTCCTGTTTAACGCTGTAATCTTTTTACCGATTGGTCTTTGATATTTTTCCCTCTTCGGTTTGACGATTTGTCATATATATTTTTCATGTTGAATATCATTCAAATGACCGTTTAAACTTATTATGATTCGAAACATGCTTGAACTGTTCATATACTGCATTTCATTCTTCTTTATCAGTGACTCCGAGTACGCTTGCATTATATGACATTGTGAAATAATTTCGCGTAATACTATTAGGAAAAAGTTGTACCTTTCTGCGATATCTGCGAAGCTCACCCGAGATTTAAGTTCACCAACCGTCCCTCATCTCGTGCTGCCGGGGCCATGTCGGTAACCTTTTCACACCACCAGTCGTTCACGTCTAGTGATGGCCCACATGATCTTCTCAGCCGGACTTTTTGAATTTCTAGTCTTTCGTAAAGCCCACAATCCGTGCCGAACGAAGTGCAATTCGTTCACGTCTGGTCTGAAATTAAATTGTTGAGACTGGAGATCGTACATGATTCTTAGTGGTTCACTCCTTTCAAAGTGGCAAACATTTTGAATGGTAGTTTGATGGTTCTGATTTTATGCTAGTTTTTCAGGTATTAACGAATCGTACGATGCTCCGAGAGCAGAGCTGCGCAGCTCTTCGAAGAAAACCTGCAAATAGCCGACTTCCTATGAGGGCAACTTGTCTGAAGATGTATCTGCCGAATGAACGTTACAAGACGCACGTGCGGCTCAAAGAAATACTACTAGAAACAAAATTCAAAGATTCTTCAATATCGAACAGATGAGTATTGGGTAAAGTAGAGCAGAAACTGGTGGAAACCAGAAGGTGCATTGCTTTAAGGACGAACGGATTTGAATTTCCTACTCTAGGGACAAAGTTCTCGTACAAATTAAAAGTTTATGGTTGAGCACGGGTCATCGGGTACTCGGTGGATCTAATGTTCGACAAGACTGTCTGCGAAGAATGCACGGGGGCAGCCGGCGACGCAAAAGACGAGTGACGTTAAGAAGCCGACAGATGGGAATGGAAAAATGCCCCCGAATAACGAACCGTGGACTTCTTTTTATCACTGTCTGAAAGATGATTTGTCGAGTACGGAACTTATCGTCAACCTATGAAGAAGATAAGAAAGAGGGAGAACGTGATATATATTTATAGAGAGAGAATGTAGACAGAAAATATAGAAATCGTATTACTCTCTCGTATATCTATTACAAAGGTATGTTCATCAATTTATAGAGGAATCGGGAGTCCCGTTGGGAGAGAGCCGTTGCAGCCTTCAAGGGGAAGATAAGTTGGATCATTCGCAGGCGGACCGGCCGGTACGAACTGGTCCTGGGAGTTGTAACGTCTTGATTTAACCATTCGCAGGCGGACCGGCCGATTCTCATCCACTTGGATCTTCTTCTTCAATAGCCCCTCGCAAGCTCTGTCTCGAAACGAGATTGAGCTTGTTGAAGAGAAGCTTGAACCGAGCTTTGGGAAGAGCTTTTGTGAGTAGATCTGCGTGCTGTTCGGTGCTGGAGATGATGCAGACTCGGAGATGTTTGGAGAGAACTTGTTCCGGAACAAAGTGATAATCAAACTCCACATGCTTTGTGCGAGCATGGAAGATTGGATTAGCTGTAAGATAAGTGGCACCAACATTGTCACACCATAGCGTGGTTGGTGAAGTGAACGGAATTCGCAATTCCGCTAGGAGAGAACGAATCCATAGGAGCTCAGCTATAGTGTCTGCAACGGCTCTATATTCTGCTGCCGTGCTGGATCGTGCAACCGTTGGTTGTTTCTTGGAGGACCATGAAACGAGATTAGTGCCAAAAAAAATGAGGTACACTCTTGTGAACTGACGATCTGATGGTGAGCCTACCCAGTCTGCATTGCTGAAGGCCGCGAGAGAAAGAGATGGACTGTGCCGGAATAGAAGGCTGTGGAGGATGCTGCCTTTCAAATATCGGAGCAGATGCTTGAGGTTCACCCAGTGTTGCGTAGAGGGAGTATGCATTGTTTGACACGCTTTGTGGACTGAAAAGGCAATGTCAGGTCTTGTGATTGTTGTGTACGGAAGTGCCCCGACGACACTCCAATATACTGATGAGTCAAATGAGCTTGCATGGTTAGTGGATAAAGAGGAGACAAGTCATGGAGTGGCCGTTGGTTTGCTTTTATCCATGTTAATTCGCATTAAGAACGAGTGTATATAATGTGATTGTGAAAGTACAAGCCCATTTGGGTGAGGTAAGAATTCAATGTTTAAGAAGTAGTAAGTAGGGCCTAAATCATGAATGTTGAATTGATGGTTGAGTGTCGTGATGGGAGAAGTGACTTTGTTCTGATCAGGACACATAATGAGATTAGAAGATTGGAGAGTGAGGATGAGATTGAAAGGAGAGAGAGACATCGGTCTTCGACCCAATGAATCTTAAGTTTTGTAGACTAGAAGTTAGTTTAAAAAACCATTTTTGAGGGGCTTGTTTAAGGCCATAAAGAGATTTCTTTAACTAACAGACAGATTAGAAAAATTTGGATCAATAAACCTGGGAGGTTGTTCCATGAATAGTGTTTCACGTAAATCTCCATAAAGGAAAGCATTTGAAACATCAAGTTGATGGATATATCATTTATGGCTGACGACTATAGATAATAAGATGCCAATGGTTGTGATTTTGACCAGTGGACTGAAGATTTCTAGATAGTCAAAGCCTTCCTCTTGAGAAAAGCCTTTGGCTACTAAACAGGCCTTATGTCATTCAATTGATCCATCAACTTTGAATTTGAGCTTTTAGACCTATTTGCGACTCAAAACGTTTATGTTGGAAAGTCTTGGGACTAGAATTGAGGTGTTGGTTTGTTGTAGGGTAAGAAATTCAGTTTGCATTGCTTTGTACCAGTGAGGAGTTTTAAGAGTAGTGGTATGTGAAATACGTTCTCGATCAACTAGAGTAATTGCAAGCAGACATGTGGGTAATAGATGTTGAATGGTAAGATTGGTTGTCTTGGGATAAAAGTTAGAAAGAGGTTTAATTTTAATGGGGTCACAAGACTCATTGATGGTGTGGCCAACAGAGGGGGAAGAGTCTCAGAGATGGTCAAGAATAGAGGGACAAGTACTCTTAATTGGGGCAGTGGGTGTTGATAGAAAATGAGGTAAATTGTTAGTCTAATGAATGAGTATTAGAGGGAGAAGTTATGTTAGGTGTTGAAGATGTTGTCGGGAAGTGGGGGCTGTCAATGGAATTGTAGGTGGTAGTATTTGGGTGAGTTGACTTAGTTGTCATGGAGGATGGAATGTGTGTGTGAGAGAGATGGAATAGAGAGCTGTGTTGATCCAAATGTAATGGGGGCTGACTCGAGAATTCCATCAAAGGGTTTCAAGGGTGGTGGAATATTAGCCAAGTTTTTGTAAGAAAATGTGTTCATAAAAAATAACATCACAAAAAGTAAAGAGTTTAATTGTGGTAAGGGAGAGACAACGATACCTAAGATAAGATGAACTATACCCTAAAAAAATGCACCTTTCAAATTAAAGCATAAGTTTGTTAATGGCATAAGCACGTAGGTGAGGATAACATAAGCACCCAAAAGACTTCAAGAAAGAATAATCAGGTTTGGTTGTATAATGTTTTTCATAAGGATTGGAGAATGGGTTGGCCAGATGCTGCGAGCTCATCACAGATTTCTCAAAGATCTTGAATATAGATATCAAGGGATTGAGTTCCTCTATTGATCATGTGGAACTTGTTGTATAGATTCATGATCTGAGATTGGCTGCAAGAGGCAAATTTTTTACATAGCGCCTCCCATGCTTCTTTTGAAGTGTTCTTTCCCACGACAATGGGCAGCATTGACTTGGATAGTGAGGAATTGATCAAGGCTATGTTGTGCTGATCATAGTTTAACTATTACTGGTATTCCTCACTAACTTAATGTTGACCTTGAGCATGTGTTATGGTGACTATTGGTGGATCTTTCTCGAGTATATATGTGAGTCCGTAGCTATTAAGAATTAGTAATAGCTGCATCTTCTAAAGAAGGAAGTTTTCACTAGTAAACTTTAAAGAAATGGTCATACCTGTAGAGAGAGTTGTATTCTGCAGTTGTAACACAGCAAGGCTGTGAGACTAAGCAGATTTGGTTGCCAATAGTGTTGAGAGAGCTTCAGCTATCTTAAATCAAGTGTTAGGTGATGATGAATCAAGATGAGGCGATTAAGCCAACTGGCTTTGATACCTCGTGGAGAAGATAAGAAAGAGGAAGAAGGTGATATAGAGAGAGAGAGAGAATATAGATAGAAAATGTAGAAATTAAATTACTTTCTCGTAAATCTATTACAAAGGTATGTTCATCTATTTATAGAAGAATCAAAAGTCCCATTAGGAGACTATAGTTGCAGCCTTCAAGTGGAAACTATTGTTATAGGAAGCGTAACTGTTAGACAATTTAAATTGGTCATGGGAGTTGTAATGTCTTGGTTGAACGATTCACAGATGGACTGACTAGTTTTCATCCATTTGGATCTTCTTCTTAAACACAAACTCTGCACCTCCATAGAAATCTAATAAATAGACACAAAAACAAGTCTCATTGCATTGCAATCCAATCCCTTCTCCGATCCTCATAGTTGTCGACCTATTCCTGAAGAAATGGCTTCCCATCGACGAGTAATAACGAATATGGCCAGCAGCACCCACCCTCAGCAGACCTTTGGAGCAGCCCTCCTCTTTGTCTTCATACTGATCACATCCATCATGCTGGCATTGGCAAGTACCCTCACGACATTCGAGGGGCCTAGATGTAGCAGAAAGAGCAAGGACATCAATAGTTGTGGGTGCTTCAACCTCTATGTTTACATCGGCAGCTTTCACTTTGTGTACATGGAGGGGCAGGCGGCCAAGCTCTATGCTTTCTACAATTGTGCCAGCTGCAAACTTCCCGACCGTCTCCACGTAGAGACCTACAGCTGCATTGGCAATGAATACAGTAGCATGAGGATGCTTTGTTAACTAGACACATACTGGATCTTCATCTATTCTTGGTGGGGATACAAGCAAATTGAATAAGGAAGAAAAATAAGAGGCTGGTGTCACTCCATATGTTGTTATAGTAAGATTATTGAGTGAATAAACGAGTACCATTGAATGAGATAAGTTCTCTGTTTTCCCTCGCATTTTGTATCTGACACGGTTTATTAGTGAAGCTGGGGCGATACGATCTATGTACCCCACTGACCAAAGCCTATTAGTAGTGTGCCTCGTTCATTCTCTTTCTCTCTCCCTCCAACATACATATGCACAATACCTAGCATAGACACGGGAAGGTGCAGCAAAGTGGAGATGGCTGCACTTAGAATGTTCCACCATCATTTTTATTTGAACTCATAGGTTTGAAATGATAAAAAATATAGTATCTGCATGCAATATAAATAAATACACCATCAATACCAAAATAGAATGCAAACTTCATTATGTCAACACAAAATGCATACTTTATGGCAAATACATGAAAGAATGATAACCATCATTGTGGTAATGTAAATTTAATATAATGATAAGTCTTCATTATCATGAGTTAATAATTAGTAAACAATATAGTTTTAGCCTTAACTCATGATAAATATACTTATATTTGTGTTAAAGAATGATTTTTGGTTTTCAATTGATTAACGTGAATTTTTGGGTAATTATGTGATTTTATACAATTTTTACAGTCTTACTTTTGAGATAAATGAAGAACAAGAAATAAAAATAAAAATATTGCAAAAAAGGGGGGACCCGCTGGCCAGCCAGGCCCGCAAGCGGGTCGGAAGCGCAGTCGGCTCGAGCGGCTTAGCTTGGGGACTGACAGGGCACGCATACGCCACTCCCCTTCCACGTCATTCTTGGCCAGCCGGCTGTGGGGCAAGGAGTGGTCATACACGCAAGAGAAGGGACTTTGCTCACAAAGCTAACATTACTATATATTTGTCCAAAAAATCGGCATACAACCGATGTGGGACTAAACCCCGGTCACACCTTCCTCAGAAGAGGCGGGGCGACCGGCGCGGGTTCGAATCCTCCCAGAGTCAAAATTTATATATTTTTATCTGATTATCGCGACTTTCCTGCAGATCGCCGGTGAAGGATTAAGTAATGAAAATCGCTGGATCATCGGCAAAAATCTCGTCAACGCGATTCGCAGAGCATTGCTACTAAAATTGCTGAACGATTCGCGATAAAAGGATCGCGAATCCATCAAGTAAATCATCTCCGATTGATCGACGAACAAGCCATCGTCGGGAAGAGGACGATCCGCCGGTAGACCAGTCGCCACCTCCTGAGAGCATACCAGATGTGATGAAGAGCCTCCTCTTGCTTCGCGGACTTGAGGATGAAGCTCCCTAACACGTGCCCCACCTCCAACCAGCTCCTCTCTATCTGGTGACAGCCGCCGGAGAGCCGCAAAGTTACCGTTTTTCCGCTCCGCCGGGTGACAGCCGTCGGAGACGATTCGACGACCCACTTCATTGATCTCTAGACTTTGTGAGAAGATCTAGAGATTGCCCATGTCGTCTTTGTCCAAGGAGAGCCTTCGAGGCCGTGGACACTACACGACGATCCTCCCGAACGCTTAGGATTCCGGTGCATCACCGACGCATTGCCGTCGCGACGCCGGAACTTTGTTTTCCTACTTTCAATTTAATTTACGCTTCATTTAGTAATACTTTGTTGATTTTAATTTACCAAATTATACTTCGTTCAATTACGATTCTTCCGGCTTTTACAAATCTTAATTTGATTAATTGAGTCATCTGTAATCGCCTATGTAAGAATCGCCAGGCGGAACTCTGTTTCCGCCTGATTCACGTTCGCTGGGCGCTGACGTCATCCTGACGCCCGCACCCTTATTTCCTTTTTTTTCGTAAATTTTAAATATATTTCCTTTTTATTTCCTTGTATAAAATTCGTAAGAAAATCATATTCATTGAGAAAAATTCTGAATAATTACCAGATATTATATTACATCCCTGTGATCGACTTGGAAAATTACCACTATTTTGGAATTTTTATTGAATTATAATTGATCTATTTATTTTGAAATACTTCTAAATATCTAAAAATTCGTATTTTCTAGTTTTATAAATTTTATATTTGCGTGATTTAATATACAACGACTGAGTCACATCATATAACACCAAACAAAGCAAATTTTATTGCCTTCTAAGTATTCTACCTATTACATGCAATAAGTTGGACTGCAAGGCTGGACTTAACAACCCTCCAAAACAATCGAACTACATGAATTGTAAAAGTTTTGGTATGACTGATTTTGGAGATTGATTTTTGCCACAAACTTTGAAGTAGAAAGTTAATGAAAAGACTGTTGTTGGCTTTAGGTACATGATGGTAAAGGTTGTTTGGCTCA